GAAGAAACGAGCCTGCCTTACTCTGCCTGTCTCTCTGCCACCTTCGTGTCTGGGAAGGTGCTGAGAAAATGTTTCAGCTCCTTGACACTTCCACAGCTTCCATTTCCTGTGGCCCCCTAAGGAAAAACGCTACATCTCCCTCCCGCTAGTTATAGCATTAGCAGGGAATAGCTCGCTGCAGAAAGGATCCTCTGCTCTGAACACCCCAAAGCGTCTGAACAGCAGCGGTGAGAGCTGGGACCACGTTGGGTGCATTCGGCAACTAGCCAGCAAAGCTCGAACCGCGCTTGGGTGCCAGCACCGTCTGCCCACTGAGCTTACTTTAACCTGCAGCGAGCAGTTTTTTGGCTTTTCTGGGTGCGTTTCCTAATTTGAAGTTAAAACCTGCTGAAATTCATGCCTCCAGACACAACAACGCCAAGGAAAAGCAGCCTCCTGCTCCCCAAGAGCAAGCTTTGTCAGCGCCGCTTTGACACAAAAAATCTGTTTCCTCAGTTATGTCTTCTTTCTTACCTATTTTAGACATGATGGTGTGAAAATATAATAAAAGCTCATGGAAATAAATTAGATGAAGCTGGAAAAGTAGTTCTTTGGAATACATTTAGAGCCCTTGGCTCACAAGAGCTTTAATAAATGAGGAGCCCCTTGCATGGAACAGCCTGCTCGTGTCTGACCATCCATTTGCCCCTTGCAAGTCAGCTCTTCCCTATTCATCAGCCTGAGCTCTCAGAGCATTTGCATTTCTATCTCCAGCAGCAAGCTCCAAAAGGAGAAGAACGGACCTTTTTTAGGAAAAAACTACCCATAACATGAAACTGCTTCAAAAATCAACGTTGCATCAATATACTGGGTCTCATGAAGCACCATCATTTTATACGAGTTAATCCTACACATTCACATGAGGTCCAAACTCCAAACTTCGTATTACTTGACATATTATCTGTGCCACTCCTAGCTCAAAATACATTTTTAAACATCCGTTGAAGACGAGTCATTTAAATTTAAGCAAGTGCTTAATCATTCTACCAAGAGACAGCAGAGACTTGCAGACAAAAGCTCTGTTCAGTACTTACAAGTCACCACTATCACACAACAAAATCTTTCTCTGTTAAATAATTTATATGAATAATTGAAGTTTTTTGTATGAGGAAACACATTACTTGAAAAAAAATGTCCAAGTGAATCGTTATATTCCTAGCAAAAGTCAGGGCCAATTCTACTACCACAATTCCACACTCAATTTCATAAATACCAAGAAATTAAAAATACCACTAATTTGGCCCCTATAAAACTCTAAAAAAAAGCCTTCATCTTAGGTGAAGAAAGATTTTTGTACTTAAATAGCGTGAAATTCCCCTTTCTACTGACGATGAAAAATGCCCCTTGATGCTCCATCTCCTTCTGGACATATCCAAAGTGAAAATAATTTTCAAAACTAATATGTATATGGAGTAACATGGTTAACATTATCGAATGAATTTAGATCCACCTACACAGTATAAATAGATCCAGATAAACTGTCACTTTCAGCAGAATTCATTAAAATAATGTTGTATCTTCCTTGTTAAATGTAATTTTTTTAATTGAAATTTAATCTTACGGTATTATTTGGTAGATTTTTAATTGACATTTGCGGTAATTAATTGGTAAGCATTACAGCTTTGTCTGAAGAATTTAAAACTAAATTTGACATCGAGATTGGCCAGCCACTGCTGTGAGGTGCCTGCTGGGAGCATTTCATCATCCTCCCGGCCCCTCCTGCCGCTCATAGGTGGGAGATGATGGTCCCTTTCTTACAGTCATGAATTACATTACTAATGTATTCCATTACCACCACGCAAATGTCATGTTAATTCCTGATCATCATCAAGTCAGACAATGGTTTCCACGCTGGCAACTAGCCAATTAGCTATGTGGAAAAATATTCAGCCAATTATATAACTTGAATTAGGTTAAGGACTCAAGAGAAAGCAAAATAAAGGCTTTGAAAATACTTCGGAGATAAAATGTAAGTTGACACTGTCTTCATGTGCTCTAGCCGATGTTATACAATCTGATAGGCAGCTGCCAACATTCATAACTGTTTATTAAATCTAGCCTCTCTTTATGGTGGCAGCTAAGATCTGTATTTTTACCAATATTAGGTTCATTGTGTTATGAAAAAAGACCAAAATACTTAGGAGCATTCACACCAGCTTATAAAACATATTATGTAGTATATTAAATTGTTAAAATTACTTCTTCTCTCCTCCCCCGACCATGTAGAAAGTTCCACAGGCAGAAAAGTTTATGGAAAAACAAGTCACTGACGTTTGCCAAGAGACAGGGTGATGCTCCGAGGACCACAGTGGTATCTCCATGATGCCAGTCTGCAGCACGACAATGGGCTCTGTCCCCAGATTTGGAGCTCACATCCCACAAAAGAGAAGTAAAAGGTCTAATGGAAAGGCCAGCAGTGCTGCACAAATACAAATGGTCTGTCAGAAAAAGGGCATTTTTCCAGCACGTGCGTTAGTTGGGCACGTGGGCTACGCGCTTGGAACTCTCCACAAGGCCGGATTTCTCGTGCCTCCCCATTATTTTGATTTGTTCTGTTCTTTAACACAATTTATTTTACAAGCATGGTTCTCTCCAATTTAAAAATGTACACAGCACCATCTCCTCAACTTTACAAACTTGTAACAAGGAACAATTTGTTAAAACCTTTTACCATATCTTTCTGTCTCATTTTCCTGGTTGTTGCAATGAGGCAATTCACTGTTCTGGCTACTTACCCTAGACGACCTTTGCCAGCCATGAAACGGTATACAACTAGATGCTCTGCCTTAAATAAAACTCTTCTTCTTCTAAAGGTCCTACTTATTCAGTTAACACAATCAACAGAAACCACATTTGGTTGCTCAATAAGCTGGAAACTTCTCAAACCTGCACGGCTGTGAATGAATTCCTGACATCATCATAGACTCTCAAGTGGGGAACAAGAGAGAATATTGAGAAGTGGCTCTTACTGCAGCTGCAGAAAGGATCACTCCTTTACGCTGAACTCTCAAGGAAAAGGAGAACAAAAAGTAAATTAGCTCAATGCAGCCCCTCTACAGTCAGTAGATCACCAGGCAACTTACCATCTTTGGATAATTACGGCAGAGGGCTGATAATACACCAGGGTTAAGAACACTGTAAGCACCCATTTTGGCCAACTGCTCCTTCCCAGCCAGCTTGCTCCATGCTTGTCCTTTTCTTATTATTATTTTGTGATTTTTAAAAGCACCTAGAGAGTCTAATGCATTCAGAAGATATTTTGAAGTGTTCATGCAACATGGAAATTTTAAGATTATTAGAATTAAGTGAGTTTCATGAGGAATAACACGAATCTTTTCCTCTCTTCAAGCTGGCATCTGGAAGGAGTTAATAATCCTTCCTTGTCCTTTTCCAACACTGAAGCCACCCAGAAGACAGATTTGTCTTCAATTCGTCTTTATACAGAATGCCAGTCAGTCACTTCTCCCAGATCTTCATAAATCAAGGTGCTATATCAAGAGATGGCTTCAAAACACCCCAGATCTTCCACGTGCTGCCACTGAGAGAAGAAACAGCCCCACTACAGGCAGTGCCAAGGGGCTATCAGAGCGCCAGGTCATTGCCCATGCTACACTCAGAGCAGACTAGATCTTCAGCAGACACTTCAGCAGTACAACTTGGACACCAGATATTATCTATAATAATTGAAGTAGTAAGGAAACGCATTGGCTGTTTTAAATAAAGGTATGTCCCTTGTATATAACCCTACATTTTCTGAATACATATTGTGAGAACAAACAAGGAATTAATTAGCTGACCGCCACAATTATGGTCAACTGATCCATGTGCTATAAAGTCATGAGAAGTGTTTGCATCACTGGAGGAGTCGGAAATTGCTCCCTGTTTGGGGAACATCATCATGTAAGCAAGGTTGGTAATTCAGACACAAAGGAAACGGTAAGGATCCCTCTCTTGCATGCACACTTCAAGCTGCCATATGGGTTTATTCAAGTGTTTACTACACCAGTCGGTAAAAATTGAACAGCTATTATAATCTTTGCTAAACGACACGGTAATTATGTTACCTCTGGAAAAAAAAAAGAGAGAGGGAAGAAACTTTAAAAAAAATCACAATTCACTGAGGTGTGAATTTCTGTTTTTGTAATCTTTGTATTTAAATGCATTTTCTAATATACAGAGGGATATTAAATCTGTAACAGAAACCTGATTTTTTTCAAAAAAAAAATTTGTTCACCCATTTCCCATGCAATTTAATTACCCATATTTCCTAGTTTCTAAAGACTCTGACAGATCTTCTAATTTTCCTGTAAAAAAAAAAATCAAGGAAAAAAAAAAAGAATAGATATGGGAGGACTTCTCTCACTGTTCTTCCAACACCACCATTCTTGCACCTTGCCCACACTGAAGGGGCATGAGCACGTGAGGGGACAACTCTCCTGTGTACTGGTGACACCATTTTGTCACCGGGATAGACGTGCAGCCAGTGGCAGAGTTTGTTATTTGCTGGCAATGGCTCCTTCGAGAGAGCAGCCTCCAACACGTGGCAGAGAAGAGGCCCCTTCGTATTCATCTTTCATCATTACACGAATTGTCCACGTAAGATGAGCGGAGGCTGCCTGCGCACAAGGGTGCAGCGCCAGGAGCATCACTGAGCTCCAGCTGCACCAAAATCTTCAAGTTTTCATCCAAGATTTGAGGGGACCAGGAGAAGAAAGGAAGAGAGTGGGATTTTCCCCCCCCCGTATTGATATATTTGATATTGCTCATATTTCCTAACAATGATTTTTTTTAATGAATAATGATAACCAGCTTTTAAGTACATACAAAAATAACAAAACAACAAAAACAAACACATCAGATTAAAGAGAGTAAAGGTGGGGGAAAGAGAGAGATATTGTCAAAAGAAACAACAACAACAAAAAAGTTCAGAGTTACTAAAAACTTGGGATTTGACAACTCACTGGTTTTACTTGCAGGCATCACACATATCCATTCATGGCTCAGAGCAAGCACGGGAAAGGACTGAAACCCTTATCATGGCAAATGTGTCTGGAAGCTGGAATCGCTCAGGAAAAAAGTGTTCTCAGGAGTCTGAAAGACAAAAACATGTTCAATTTTTTTCACTTAGTTAGAATTCTATTAAAGCCTACCATTTTACTTTGAAAATAAAGGACAAGTTATAAATGAGGTGAGCTTTATAATAATATTGCTACATATCAAACCTGATCATACAGAAGATTTCTTTGCTTTAAATAATACTGAAAATTGCAACATAGAGAAAGATTTTTAGAGGTGCTGTTTTATCAAATTTGAAATTTGCTCTTCCACTAGGTATATTTATTTTTGTTCTAAATACCAAAATTCATCTATATGAAAATTCATATTCTACTACAAATCATTGGAGTATTTCAGAAAATTCAAACACTCTAATCTACTTTGCATTATGAAAATAAAAGATCTTTCAATCTTTGAAATATTTACTCATTTTCTCCCGATCAAACCTGAACAAAATGTACAGCAAAAAGAGTATTAAAGAAATACGCTTTTTTTTTCCCCCCACAAACTATCCACGATTGGTACATACAATACTAATCCTAAATACAAGCAGAGGAGTTCCTGGAGCTGTGATATACAAACTTGCACTCATTAACCACTTGGGACTCAACCAGCAGCTTCATAGTCTGAACTGGAGTAGGACACTCCAGGGCTTAGTGGATGCATCAACACCCAAGGGAGCATCTGGTTTCTGGGCTGCTTCACCACAGCGAACTGGGAGCAAAGATCTCAAGAGGAGAAAACAAAACTTTCCACCAGACGGAAAAGTCCTGAGGGACTGGGGTAGAAAAACACAATAAAGGCAACAGTCATGTGGGATCGTCCTTCTTCACCAGGTCTCTCCCTCCACACTGACTCAGGCTGGTGGCTGCCCTGTTCTCCATGCATCCACCTGTGCAAAAGCTTGACCCTCAAATGCTGGTGGAGCCAATCATTTCAGCAAACCACTGCAGTCTTCCTGAGGAACATCTGGAAGTTTCTGTCTCAACAACTCCTGCATGAAAATTCCTAAGGAAAAAAGGTACTTCTCTAGCCTCAGAGCCTTCTCCCCTAAATGGAAGAGAATGGCTCAAGGAAGATCACAAGTGTAGGAAACCTAAATACAGGGATTATGCTACCCTGCTATAAGACTGCTACACAATAAAAATAAATCCAGAAGGGTTTTTATACAACATTTATGCTAAGCCTGACTCCTTCTCAGAGACTCTGGAATACCTATGGACCAAAAGCAGCACCTTGCCTCAGTTTTATTTTATTCCTGATGAGCACAAGCACTGAATAGTTTGAGACACAGTGAGACAGAAGGAGGTTTATTGCTGTGCATGATGACAGACACACAGGCAGGTATGTAGCTGAACCTCTATACGTGTCAGGGCAAGATTCCTCTGGTTGACCTTCTGCCCCACAGTATTCAACTGCCTAACAGTCCTTACCCACAACCTTTCCAGAGCAGAACACAGTTCTCCTCATATTAAAGATAAGGAAACAGGGCTCATTTAGGATAAGGCCCGTTCAAAAGATCTCATGCTCTTACTCAAGACTTTTGATGCAAAACGACTTGCCCAAATCACACATTCAGCCTTCAGCAGATGAAGTTTACAGCTCGCAGAAGCACCTTCCTCCCCTCCAGATCATTCCTCTACTTCACAACCCTCTTCAGCAATACAGGCCATCTCAGCATGTCTTAGCCAAGAAGTAGATGTGAAAGTGCAACCAAAGGGTGTAATGGTCGATGCCAGCGCAGGAGTCCCCAGGGAGGACACAGCTCCTCAGGTGGTCGGGAGATACAAGCGGCAGCCCAAGGCTGGAGTCTGGAGAAACAAAGCATGTGGCTGAGGGGAAGGGCGGAGGAGGGAGAGGAACAGCTAATAAATCAGTTCTGATAAACTGAAGCCTTTAATGATCTACCCACACAGTCAAGTTCGATCTGGCATTGACAAATTGAAGCTTCTAATGATGCGCCTACACACTTGAGTTGGACATTCCTCTCCCTATAAGTTTCACAAAAATAGCGTGCCGGGTTAGAGCACAAGAAATGAATACAGCTACAACATGAACCACTCTTAACATTCTTTAACCAAAACTTCTCCCCCTCATAGAGTTTTTGCTGTGATCCATAGGGCAGTTGTTTCTCCCAGCCCTGCTTCCATATAGACTCCCTGAAGGCTAAACAAGAGGTGCAGAGAGGCTGTGGTGCAGATTGACTGCTGAAATGCAGTCAATCAAACCTCGAAACATGAACCTGGGCTTCATTAATTCCAGCAATCACCAAGTTTTTATTATCACTGTGTTAATCAGAATAGAAAACCTATTAATCTGCCTCCAACAAAAATTAATCATCTCGGTACTGAGCTTGATGGTTTCACTGTTGGAATCTCAACGGCAGCAGCTAATGCCTGGGGGGCCACCACAGGCTCATGGTAAAAGCCCAAAGTCAAGGCCACCACTGGCCACCTGACCATGGGAACAGGATGAAGATAGCAGACTGATGGCATTTTGCTACTGGTTGTCATTTTTTTGCTGGCTAGATTTTCATTAAAACAGCATTAACCAACATACGTTTATGTCTACATATATACAGACTGATGCACCTTAGGGCTATGCTTTATATGGCAAATTTCAAAATCTGCGCGGGGGTAGAACTTAATCAACTTTCACATTAGGATGTTTATTAACCTCAATGAAACTACAACATACTACTTTAAGAAGTTATTGGTTAAAGTCAAATTGAACAACAGAAAACAGATTTAACTTGCACATTGGTGCCTAAAAGACCGCTCCAAAACAGACAACTGCAGGAAAAGTTGTGCCCATGTATACATATATACAAAACTGTTTTTAAGTGACTGTTTCAAATTAGATTAAATCTGTGCTCCACCAATTAAGCTTTGAATGCATGACTGATACCTTTCACTATTTGAAACAGGCAGCATAATAAATGCAAAAAAATCAAATATTTTAGTGAAAATACTGGGAGAGTTGAGACATTAATTTTGCCATATACAATCTGTTTTCACAGGGATTTAAAAAGCATTATTGCCGCCCTGGGTACATTGAAATAAAGATGAAACCACCATCCTTTCCTATTTGCATATTAAAAAATATGTGCCTTCTTCATGCACACGACGCAGTTGCCGATACATGAATCTGTTAAAAACAATACAGGCTGCCTGGAGAAGGCAAAGCCCCAAAGCAAAGCTGTTTGTACGAGCAGTGGTGCATTCTGACAGGTTGCAAGGGGAAACCAAATCCCCTCCCTTCTTGTTTATCTTCCCTCTGTGGCCATGCCCAACTTGGCAAGTTTCCGAGGGGATGGGGCTGGAGCAGCTGCGGGATCCCCAGGGCTGCTATGGGATGGGGCTGTTTACCAACCACCACCAGCAGCAAAATAGAGATAGATCAGCCTAAAGAGCCTACCTGGTGCAGCGCTGGTGGGGTTACCACAATGGGTACGTTCAAGGAAAACCTAAACAAAAAAAATCCCCCAAGGAACTACTGCCCTGTCCTCATCTCCACCTTCATCACCTCTGTTTGATTGCAGCTTGAGATGCTCAGCCATGTCCTAAAACCCACCATCACATATGCATTGCCTTTACAATAAACAAATATTTATTTAAATAAATATATATATTTCCTAATAAATTGCCAGTAGCATCGCATGCCCGAAGCACATTTAGGATGACCATGCAGCGGGGTTCAGCTGGGCATCTACCTCAACTGTTGCTTGTGGTTCAAGCGCCTCTTTGCAACTAGGACACGGTTTCTGGCGACAGGGGCTCCTCCAAAGCTGCCATGTGGCCTGCACAGATGTTCCTTTTATTCCCGCGTCCCACAAGGCTCCGTGGCTACCTCGTGCTAAACAGATTACGCAAGTAGAACACTTGGTTTTGCATGTCCCCCTTTTTTCCAGCAATTGTCCAATTTACTCAACTTCTTTTCCCTCTCCCTTTTCCCCCCTCCCAATACTACAGAAAAAAAAATCCATTAAAATGAGGCAGAAGCAAGAAAAAAAAGTTTCTGTTCTGCAATTAAAATTCCCAGCAATGTTCAGCATCTGCAAGCAAAGCAGGAATTTTACCAAAGCTCTTATTTTCACACTAAAATAACTATCGCATTAGGTGCCAGTTTCTTTAAAAACAATAAAAAAACTTAATCATATCCCAGTAACACCAGTCGCTACAAGTATCGTAATCCCTCACCCTTATTTAGATGTCCAAATGAGAATTGAACTTTTTCCAAAAAAAAGATCTAACACCAATTATGGGTGCTAAGCATTTTAAAATCCTTGAAAATCCGGCCTTCAACTCGGTCACAAAGAAAGGGCTTAATTTCCCGGCTGTCAGGCATCCCAATCAACAATTGAAGTCAATGGGATCTACACAGTGCCTTATTAAAAAAAAAAAAAAAAAAAAAAAAAAAACAGGGCGGTAGGAAAAACCTAAGCAGCCCATTAGGCAACTTCAGCCAGAGCAAGACAACCTTGCTGTACTAAGGCAGCAGTAACACACAGCCACTTTGCTCCCATGCTTAATTTGATTAATCATTTCGGTATTATCCCCAATTAGAAAAGTACCTAACAGGAAAATCAAAAAAAATCAAAAAAATGCTCAAGACTCTAAGATGAAGTGGAAAACGGCAGCAGAACGTGTGATGGCTCTGAACTTCTAGCATTCCTACCAGACAGAAATTAAGCCAAAAGTTTGTGGGCAAATGTGAAGATAATCATGTTTCATGCAGATTTCTGATTTTTTGTTGTTGTTAATAACTGAAACTGTATTCTAAATGTTTAAAACTGAGAAGCAAAAAGTGCTTTAGCTGTATAAAAATAAAAAGGTGAGAGAGAAAAAAATATCCTGCTGAAACATCGCGATGCTGACGGTGTAAAGCGCAGCACATACATCCTCTCCGCAGGAACAGGGTGGGACGGTATTTTTTCCCCTCCGCGTGCCAAATCAGGTAGCGGCACAGGAGTTGCCCAGAGTTTTTCCTTTCTAACAAGTGACAGAAGTTCAGCAAAAATTCCTGGGAACA